CCTGAGAGGCAGACCATGCTCTGATTATGGGTATCTGAGTAGTTGTCTCACTGGTGGAACTTCCAAACAAAATGTTCTCATCTTCAAACCTCTCCCCAGAAATGACCAGTCTAGACTTTTCAGTTAACTTTGTCCCTTTGAATTCAGGCATATTTACTGGTCAGATGTCAAGAATCAACGGATTGAGGTGGCTAAACTTGATGGAAGATATAGGAAGTGGTTGATTACCACCCAGTTGGATCAGCCTTCTGCGATTGTTGTGAACCCCAAACTAGGGTAAGCACTTGGTGGAGTCTAGTTTTCTCTTACTGGATTCTCATGGACTTATGTTTTTAATGATTTTTTCCCCTAATTATATTAAAATCATCCTTTGTTTTTTTCTGGAGTGACATCTGTGATTGAGTTTCAAGATTTGTAATAGGCCCTTGAGGTCATTTAGGACCAACTATTTCTGATGGACAAATTCCTTCAAGAACATACCTGAGACTCTTTCTGGTTAATGGACTCTGAAATCAGAGCTCTGAACTTTAAAGATCTTCATGGATTTAGCTGCTTTAAGTCAAGATTTCATTAGATTTCTTTTCATTTGGATGTTTTAAATTAACTTATTCATTGAAATTCAGCTGTGAATCTAGTTATATTTCATTGGAAATAATTAAACATTTACATCCAAAGTATGCAAAAGTTTCATATATATTATCCATGTATAAAAATGTTCCAGTTTGCAGTTTATTTGTAAATCACTTTGGGGTGAGAACTAGTTTTGTCATTTTTCTCTGTATTTCATGGATAATTATTCTTATTTAGATAATCATTAATCTGGAGTAACTTGATATTCACATATTAATTTAGGCTCAAAGTAATGACTTTAAAAGAATTTATTTTGGAGAGATTTTTGTTGTAGGGTGTGTGTACCCACCAGAGAAACAGAGAGAGACATAAAGCATGAAATCACCCCTGAGGTGGTAGGGGGGATGGCCACACTACAACCCCTTCTCCTTCATTCTCCTCTCAAGATTTTGGGCATACACATACGTGCACCCATTATGAGTTTTAAGCTGCTGGGTCTTGGACTTGAACTGTGGTCAACCATGTGGGAGTCTAGCATCTTAATCACTATACCACCTGCTAGCCCCCAATGATTTTTTTTTTTTTTGGAGAGATTTTTGCTATAGGGCGCGTGTGCTCACCAGAGAGAGAGAGAGAGAGAGGAGAGAGAGAGAGAGAGAGACACAGACAGACAGACAGACAGAAAGTGAGAAGTCACCCTCCAGTGGGGATGGCCATGCCACAATCCCTTCTCCTCCATTCTCCTCTTGGGATCTTGGGCACACACACACACGCGCCTGGTGTAAGTTTTAAGCCACCGGATCTGGGACTCAAACCACGGTCGACTACATGGGAGTCCAGCGACATAGCCATTACACTAACTGCTGGTCCTCAACCCAAGAATTTTTTTTGATAGCCTAAAATACTTCTCCTTTTAGGGAAGGCCCAGTACGACCCTTCGTAGATATGGCAATATTTGTCTGTGGAACATTATGAGCTATTGTTACTTTGCTTCGGTTACATTCCATATTAGGCATGCCCACAAAACTCAGTTACAACACTTGAAGAATGGTTGTCTGGTAAAGTTAAACTGTGTGAATTTGTCCTCAGCAGCAGTCATTGCTTCTTGTGTCTTACCTATACACTACCCTAGGAGCAAAGAGATGCATGAGCCCTGTGACATGGATGATGTGACTGTTTCCTGTGTGCTCTTGAATTTTTCCTCTGTAATTGACGTTTATATCCATCTTAATATTGTGGTTATAGTCTGATAGCCCTCCATTGTTTGTTCGTAGAAGGTCCTTATTTTATTCTTGTCATTCCTTTGTTTCTGGAATGGCTCAGGGTAGCCTGGCAGGGCAGGGCAGTAAGAAAGGAGAGAGATGAAGGGTAATCACCTAAGACCTTCAGACCTGCCCTACAGCCTCTGCATTCCATGATCTGTTTGAGAGGCTAATCATCTGTAAGTCTTATAAAGCATTTGTAATTTGTGAACCCTACTTGCAGGAACTATGTTATATTTGCCACTGGCCTCAGGGATGATTGCTGACTCATAATAATACCAGCAAATACAATCAAAAGAGCCAACATCTGTTACATCCTCATGCTGTGCCTGCTACTATGCTTCTCCCTAGAGCAATTCAGCTAGATCATGCAAAAGACCTACAAATTACTCCAAAATTTCTACCCCCTGTTAGCATGAAGGGATTACAGTATGGCCACTGGAACATTTTTACAAATGAATAATATGTATTAAACATTTGCATACTTTGGATATAAGTGCTTAATTATTTCCAATGAAATGTGACTAGATTCAGAGCTGCATTTCAGTGAATAAGTTACTTTAAATCATCCAAATGACAAAATAATATATATATTTTTTTATTCAGTAATTGCTGACTATAATATAAGCTAGAAAAGGAGAATTATCAGGAGGAAACTATTGGTAAACACTGTGATACTTCTATTACCTTGCAGAAGTTCTGGGGGAAGCTGTATATAGGGAAATAGCATTTGAAAGGCACTTTGTCGGTGCGGATCCACCGAGTATGTAATAAGTGATAACGTGTGTGATACACGGAGAGCAGTATGGGTGAGGTGATGAGGGACCACTCCCTGGAGAAAGAGGGGCTAACATAGAACCTGGAAGGGTGTTATGCATATGGACAGACAACACGGTTGTCTGTTCATAAGCTCAGTGCACGGTGTGAATGAAGTAGCAAGGGAAAAACATCATTCTGTGTACCTTTTTGAGTTCTGAGTATTTATTACCTCTTTCAAGAAAATAGCTTTATTAAAATACAATTCAAATATGGTGGGACTTACTCATTTAAGATATATAATTCAACGGCTTTTAGTATATTCACAGAGTTGTGTATCCGTCACTATAATTGCTTTTAGAGCATTTTTCATTACCAAAATGAACCCCTTAACCTTAGCCATTATCCTCCTAGCCTTCCACCTCTCCCCTTCTCCAGCCCTAAAGTTACCACTAATCCTTTTCTGTTTCTATAGATTTGCCTATTCTGTACATTTCCTACAAATGGGATCATACAATGGTGATTTTTGACTGGCTTCTTTCATGTGTGCACCATTGTGTGTGTGTGTGTGTGTGTGTGTGAGAGAGAGAGAGAGAGAGAGAGAGAGAGAGAGAGAGAGAGAGAGAAGGGGAGTATTTTCTAAGACAGAGTCTTACCCTGTCACAATCCTCTCACCTTAGCCTCCCAAGAAGATGGAACTATAGGCATGTGCCACTGTGCCCAGCTATGAGTCTCACTGTGTCACCCAGGCCAGCTATGAGCTCATGATCCCCCTGCCTCAGTCACTTTGAGTCTCTGGCACTACTACACCTGGGCCTTCAGGTTGGACTGGGAATTGAACCCAGGCCTCCCATGTGGTTCCAGCCTATCGGACACAGCATCTTAGCAACACACATCACCAATGCCTGGCCTCATATGTACCGTTTTAAAAAAACAATTTGCTATCGGGTACGTGTGCTCTTCAGAGAGACAGAGAGAGGGGGAAAGTGGGAAAGCACCCCAAGAGGGATAGTCATACTGTAATCCCTTCTCCTCCATTCTCCTCTTGGGATTTTTGGCGTGAATGCCTGTGCACCTAACATATTTTCCAAGCCTGGGACTTGAACTGCACTGTTGGCCATGTGGAAATCCAGCCACCTGGGACTAGCAATTAGCGTAATAGCTATGTTGCTGAACTCCCATGTAGTCGACTCTGGTTCGAATCCCGGGCCCGGTAGCTTAAACTCACACCAGGCATGTGTGCATGCGTGCCCAAGATCCTGAGAGGAGAATGGAGGAGAAGAGATTGCAGTGTGGCCATCCTCCCCTGGAGAGGGATTTTTCGCTTTCTGTCTCTCTGTCTCTCTCTTGTCTTTCTGGCGAGCACACATGCCCTATAGCAAAAACCTCTCCCAAAAAAAAATTAAAAAAAAAAAAATCCAGCCACCTTAATTACCACACCAGAGTAGCTTCCAAGTGTACAATTTTTAATTAAAACAGAACAAGATGTTATTTTTTAGCCACTGAAACTTTGTGACAGGCTTTGAACCAACTCTGTGGAAAAAGAAAGGCCTCTGAACACATTTTTTTTCCCCAGAGTCCATACATTCCTCAATAGAATTTTCAGATTGGTTTAGACTGCAGGATGAACAATGGTGGCCTAAGTATGACCCATGGATGTGTTTGGCTTGAATTACATAGAGCTTTACTTTTTTTTTTTTCCTTAGTTGCTAACATTTAAATTTTTTTTAAACTTTAAGAGAATATGTTTTTCTAGCTTGGAAAATCAGAACTGATACCCCCAGGTAGGTCAGCCTTTCTGGGGCAGTTTTGGCAAAAGCTCTTCTTACACATGGCCTTGCTCTCCCCATGGCTCCACATTCATAACTGGCCTACTCCACTCACTAACCTCATCGACCTGGCCCTTTTCTAGGTATTTGAAGTGGTACAACCCTGGCCTAGGTAATTTTTCTAATTTCTCTTTTTCTTTTTTGCCTAGGTAGTTTTTCAATGTCACATCATAGTTGCTTGCATAGATACACTCTACAATCAATTATTAATTGGTTACAAAGTACACATTTGTAAAGAGAAGTGGCTCCATTAGGATAGGAATATTCATCTTTTTTTGGGGGGGGGATATATATCCCAAACACAGAACAGGTGTCTCTTACGTAGTAATCCTTCCATGATTCTTAAGAATGAACAGCTTTGTATTATGTATGTTAAAGGGTCTGAATGTCTACCCTTCAGACAGGATTGGCCAATCTCTATTAAGGAAGTGTGGTTTTCAGGAAGGATAATCCACAGATGCTCTTGCTCCCCTTTTTCTCTCCCTGTCTTCTGTGAAGTATAAAAACAGCAGCACTTAGCACCCAGAACTCTGCAAAAACAGTTGATTAGCCTGCCCTATTGTCGTGAAGAAACTTTACTAAGTGAGATGCTAAAACGAAGAAACCTTCTGTTACAGGCTCATGTACTGGACTGACTGGGGAAAAGAACCTAAAATCGAATCTGCCTGGATGAATGGGGAGTATCGCAAGATCCTGGTTTCTGAGAACCTTGGTTGGCCAACTGGCCTTTCTATTGATTATTTGAACAATGACCGAATATACTGGAGTGACTTCAAGGAGGATGTTATTGAAACCATAAAATATGATGGAACTGATAGGAGAATCGTTTTAAATGAAGGTTAGAAATGAGTTGGAGTTTGCTATTTCAAATAATTCATTGATGTATTTCCAGTATTTTTTCCCATTGTTCCAGGAAGGAACACTGATTTTAGGAAACGGTTTATATAGTTTCTTAGGTACCTACCACCTAACTCCCAACAGCTGAATTAAATTTAAATAGTCCAAGTAATAAGTAAATCCTTTTTTTGTCCTTTTTCATAATTAAAAAAAATGCTTTTAAATACTAGATGTTTGAATAACCAAGATTCCTGTTAGGTGCTTCTAACAGAAATGGCATTCATATGTACCAACCTTAGTCCATGTCTAGCTGCTTCTAGACACATTTGCTAGATTGCTTAGTGTGCACAACTGGAAACATCTAGAAGGGAAGGAGCATTTTCCTTTCTTATCCAAACTCTGCAGTGATCCAGCCCATACCATGTGTTTCCTATCTGACCAAGTAGTATCTTATGCTCAAAAGAAAAAAGAAAATCAAATCTCTGTCATGCAAATTGTGTTCCAAAAATAAAGTAAAATCAGCAACAAGAAAGTGAATTAGTGCCCACTAACTGGTGTAGGACAGAATGCATTAATCTAGTTTGATTTCTGTTGTCCTGGTCTCCCAGTGCAGCACCCTTTCAAGGTCATATCTGTCTGAATGTTCTTGGCATTTCGAGTCTTCGTATTAGGGACCAATTCAGCAGAATGACATTAGATACAGAAGTGATGCTGGAGTATTTTCTTTGAAATAACGCTTTTTGTTTGTTTTGCTTTGCTTTTTCCCTTGTGGACAAGTAGCTATGAGCCCTTACAGTCTCGACATCTTTGAAAACCAGCTATACTGGATATCTAAGGAAAAGGGAGAAGTATGGAAACAAGATAAATTTGGGCAGAAAGAGAAAGAGAAAGTGCTGGTAGTGAACCCTTGGCTCACCCAAGTCCGAATCTTTCACCAACTCAGATACAATCAGTCAGGTAATGATTAATCTTGGAAGAAATGCTCCTCTTTATCTGGAAACCTTATTTCAAAATAATGACTACCTTGTTGAAAATAGTAGTGGATGATGATGGGCTGATCTCTTGGTGCATAAAAGGTGTATGTCTGTGTGTCTGTGTGTCTGTGTGTGTTGGGGAGGTGTTTTAACCATTTTGACCAAAGTCAGATAAAATTGGAGTTTGTGCACAATATATGTAAACCATCAGCAGACATGAAGTAAAAATCAGTCCTCACTGATGTTTGGAGTTACGGATATGTAGTCCTAGTTTATAAATTCCAGCACATTTCAGACCCCTGTGAACTGGGTCAACACGTCGCAAAATGCGTTTCATGAACACCAGAAGTCTTATCCAGTCTTACAATTACTAGACCAACCCAGTCAGGTTATTCCTTGGATATGAGTCTTAAAACTGTCGGTCACACACATCTATTTCTTCCTCCTCTCCCCTTTGTCATTTTCTTAGTTCTGGGTTCTGCTTCATCACATTACTTGCGCTCTAATTCATTCTTTCAGCATTGCCTAGAGCAAGGTGAAAAGGAAGGGACGTTGTTGAAACTAGGAAAGTTAATAGCCTTTTACTAAGTTCTGTATCTTAGATTCTCTCTTCAGTAAACTTGGGTCTCAGGAAAGTCATGACACATTTTTGCATAGAAAAATATAAACAAATATGTCACGATTTTCCCAGTGACGAAATAGTTTGACCATCTGGTACTATCTTTTTCAAAACCTTAGAAAGAGGTTTTTTTGGTATCTTAAATGAGGAAACTGAGGCTAAGAGAGATTTAGTAACTTGTGTGCTTCACTCACATAGGGATGCATTTTAAACTCAGAAATGAAATTATTTTTAAGTTAAATTTTATCTAACCCAAAGCGTGGCATTTTTCTGTGCTAATCAGTGGTCAGTATGCCTACTTCCAGGGTGAATTCTATGGCTGCATGGCCTCTGACAAGTCAATACCTTCTCATCCCTGTATATGATCTTGGAAGAAATGCTCCTCTTTATCTGGAAACCTTATTTCAAAATAATGACTACCTTGTTGAAAATAGTAGTGGATGATGATGGGCTGATCTCTTGGTGCATAAAAGGTGTATGTCTGTGTGTCTGTGTGTCTGTGTGTGTTGGGGAGGTGTTTTAACCATTTTGACCAAAGTCAGATAAAATTGGAGTTTGTGCACAATATATGTAAACCATCAGCAGACATGAAGTAAAAATCAGTCCTCACTGATGTTTGGAGTTACGGATATGTAGTCCTAGTTTATAAATTCCAGCACATTTCAGACCCCTGTGAACTGGGTCAACACGTCGCAAAATGCGTTTCATGAACACCAGAAGTCTTATCCAGTCTTACAATTACTAGACCAACCCAGTCAGGTTATTCCTTGGATATGAGTCTTAAAACTGTCGGTCACACACATCTATTTCTTCCTCCTCTCCCCTTTGTCATTTTCTTAGTTCTGGGTTCTGCTTCATCACATTACTTGCGCTCTAATTCATTCTTTCAGCATTGCCTAGAGCAAGGTGAAAAGGAAGGGACGTTGTTGAAACTAGGAAAGTTAATAGCCTTTTACTAAGTTCTGTATCTTAGATTCTCTCTTCAGTAAACTTGGGTCTCAGGAAAGTCATGACACATTTTTGCATAGAAAAATATAAACAAATATGTCACGATTTTCCCAGTGACGAAATAGTTTGACCATCTGGTACTATCTTTTTCAAAACCTTAGAAAGAGGTTTTTTTGGTATCTTAAATGAGGAAACTGAGGCTAAGAGAGATTTAGTAACTTGTGTGCTTCACTCACATAGGGATGCATTTTAAACTCAGAAATGAAATTATTTTTAAGTTAAATTTTATCTAACCCAAAGCGTGGCATTTTTCTGTGCTAATCAGTGGTCAGTATGCCTACTTCCAGGGTGAATTCTATGGCTGCATGGCCTCTGACAAGTCAATACCTTCTCATCCCTGTATATGAACAGAGGGTGGAGCCCAGTGTCCTCATGAGTCCACTGATACCCTAAGACCCTCAAGCAGCCTAGACACATGTCAGACACATGTCAGAGCTGAGGAATCTGGGAGATTACCCTGGCACACATGTCTTTTCCAGAGAGTAACTCCTTATGATGCTAATCATGGTCACTTCTTGCTAGCCTCTCTCCAAGACACTCCAGGTCCTACTGAGTGCTTGTGTTCTAAGTGCTCTGTGCCTCTCGTGTGTGGCAATTTTAAAGGTGGGAGAGAATAGCACAGTGAACTTGGTGAATCCCTCCCTGGACTCTGTGGAAAAGGCAGAAGAAAGTCTGGAGACTGCCCGTGAAGGAAAAGCATCTCAGTTAGGTGATGCTCTGGGTCTCCTTGGAAAGTACTGACTGAGGTGAAGGCCAGAGTCCCAGCTCAGTTGTACTAGACTAACGGTTACTCCAAACCAATAGTTCGCAATTGCGAGTATACGTTAGGATTATTTGGAGAGCTTATTGAACATAGATGACCAGGTCCCTCTTGTGGATTTTCTGATCCCATGTGCCTGAGGTGATCTAGGAATTTGCATTTCTAAAAGTTTCCAAGTGATGGTGTTGCTTCTGGTTCAGGGACCATGTATTGAGCAGGGCTGACTGCTCCAGTGCCCTGCTACTCCAAAGGTGGGCCGTGGACAAGTAGCATTAGTGTCCTATGGGAGATGCTTAGAAATGTGATTGTCAGATCTCATCCCAGACCTTCTGAATCATAATAGGGATTTTAGCAAGATTCCCCAGGTGATTTGCACCACGTTAAATTTTGAAAAGCTTTGCTCTAGATACTTGACAGAATGATCATGGGCTAGGCTTTGAGTAAAGCCGTTAGGATACATGTTCTTACTTTATAGCCATGCTTGGTCTATGGTTACATTTTCAATGATGGAGAATCAGGATCACAGATTATTAGTCTGAGAAGGAATTTAGAGATCATCTAGGCCAGTATAACCTTTGGATAAATCATCATATATGCTAAGGTAGAATTCAGAAGATTCTGGAGTTACCTGCGGAGATTTTAATGGTAGTACTTGAACTCCACTTCAGAGCATTTTAAATCTGAATTTCCGTGAAGGCTGTCAGCATTTCTGAACAGCTTTCAGGTGATTCAGATGAAGCTTAGCTCTAAATTCCTTTTGCTTGCATGCAATGAAACCGAAGCCCAGAAGACAGTTCTCCTTTGAGGATTAGGATAAGAGTCACATTTAATATATGCTTTGGATAAACCATATATTATGATCTACCCAGATTCTAGTCATGACAACCCTTGATATAATACTGGGGTCACACTGGTCCTTTGAACCTTCTCAAATTGCTTAACACTGATTGGGTTTGGAGGTTAGGCAGTGAACTGGACAGATAGCCACCTTCCAAAGCTGCAAGGGCAATAGAGGAGATAATCCCAACAGGAAGTGTGAGGGGTGTAGAAGGAGGATGGAGGGCTCAGGGAGGGACTGTGTGACTTTCTTGGGTGGCAGGCATGGGTATGTAAATGAGGGTGAGTAGCTCAGTGACACAAGGGCTAGAGGCATTGGCATGCTGGCTGGGCTCTGTGGCCACCTCACTGATAGGCATGTTCTTGATTGGAGTAATCGTTCTCACATCAGGACCTAACTACTGTTCTCCTCTGCTTTCCAGTGCCTAACCCTTGTAAACAGGTCTGCAGCCACCTCTGCCTCCTGAGACCTGGAGGATACAGCTGTGCCTGTCCCCAAGGCTCCACCTTTATACAGGGGAGTGCCACTGAGTGCGATGCAGGTAGGGGACCGCCTGGGCAGCCACCAGGGCCTGAGGGAGCTCCTCTGTCCCCTTCAGGAGCCTGAAGAATCTCCACATACTGGGTCCTTTGTAGAATGGAGTGGGGGTGGTTAGACAGAGGACTGGAGATGTGGGAAGCATGAACTGTGCTGGTGAGGACTCCAGGAGCCAAATAGAACTCACGTTCCAGTAATTTCTGGGACTTATTTGTTAAAATCTGCTGAGGTATATATCCCTAAATCTATTGCTGTGTTGTTTTGTGAAGATGTATGGGAGGGTAAATTTTCTATAAGTTTTCTGTAAGGTTCCTCCTTCCTCCACTCCATACTGGGTTTGTCCACTCCACACCGGGTCCCTATTGCCCCAGCACCCACTCAGCCTTAATTGAATTCCTCAGAGCAGAGAACCATTTCCTGAGATGAGAAGGGTTTGGTGCAGAGGAGAGGGCTAGAGGACGGCTGCTGTTTTTCTCACATGCTCATTTCAAAGTTTTGGAAACTGAAAGGTCCCTTATATTGTTGGGAGATAAAGGCTAGAAAAAGGAAGCAGTGGTTTAATTCTCTTCTCACTGCAAGTGCCGTGGGTGATCTATTCTTGGCAAGACCTTTATGACTCTTAAATTAAGTAATTAGTAAGTCATGGGGAATAACTAGTACCTCTAGTTAGTGTTCTGTGCTTATTGAGCACACACAGACATCCTGAAGTTCGTGTGGCCTATCTTATGGTACCCATCTTTGGCATTTTATCCCCTCCCCCCCATTTCAGCCAATGGGGAAATAAAGAGGCTTAACTACCAACTACCACTAGGGGGAGCAAAGCTGTGAAACAAGGAACCACCCTTTGACTCATACACAGGCTGAAAACTTGGCAGGTTTGGCACCAGCAGTTAGCATAATGGCTATGTTGCTGAACTTCCATGTAGCCAACCGTGGTTTGGGGCCTGGACCCGGTGGCTTAAACTCATGCTGGCGTGCCCTATTGCAAAAACCTCTCCAGAAAAAAAAAAGTTGGCAGGTTTAGGAAATGAGCTTATGGAGGAAAAACCTGTTTCCTATTTCCCATACTCCTGTGCTCATCTCAGTGCTACTCCAATATCTGAGCAATATTTCGAACAAAATTGTAATTTCAAGTTTTGAGATTTGCTCTATGCTGTAGATGGGTTGTTCTGACATTTATTGGTATTTCACATCGTAGGAGACAGTGTCCATGTTGTCACTTTGTTGGCTACTTTCCTTATTTAAATATTGTCCAAATGTATTACATTAAGATTTTTGTTTAAAAGAAACTTAACCAAAGTAAGTACATTAATTATGGTAGTCATTCTGTATAGGGCCTTTATTTGGTATATTAATTAATCACTCAGTTAATTCAAGAAGTATTTATTGAGCACCTACTCTGTACTAGATTCTAAGTGCCAGGCATAACAGAAGTGAACAAAGCAACCCCCTGGCTCTCATTATATAATAGGACAATAAATAGAGAACCTAATAAATATATAATAGGCCAGGGAGTAAAAGTACTATGGAGACAATTGAAGCTAAGTTAGAGAGACAAGGGTGGGATGGAGGAGTTGCTCTTAAGTAGAGTGTTCAGGCAAGGCCACCTGGTGGGATGGTAGTTAAAGTGGCTGGATCCACATGGCCCACTGTGCAGTTCAAGTCTTAGACCTGGCAGCTTGAAGAATAATTGCTGATGTATGAATGAATGAAAAGAAGACATAAGATAAGGAAATCATAGTTAGTCATATGTATATATACACACAATATACACACATATGTAGGTACTATTCAGTGAGATCTGAGTGGAGTGACAGCTATTAACAAATACATTCAACTTATAAGTGAAAGCTGTTAGAGTTTATAATTTAGAAATGATAAAATATTTGAATGATAGAAACTTTGGTTACCCATGCTTCTTCAGAACATACAGAGACCTAAATTTTAACTAGCTCCTTAAATACTTAGTGATTTTTCTATGAGATGAATAGTGGTTGGGGAAATTTAACATATTAAATGAGTTATGAGAAAGAAAGAAAGAAAGGAAGGAAGGAAGAAAAAGAAAGAGAAAGAAAGAGAAAGAAAGAAAGAAAAACACACTGGGTGCACGTATGTGAGTGCCCAAAATCCTAATAGGAGAATGGAAGAGAAGGGATTGAGGTATGGCCATCCCTATCTCTTTTTCATTGCTGCTTTTTGTCTCTCTCTCTTTGGCAAGCACATATACTCTATAGCAAACAACAAAAAGGAACAAAGTGCCTGCCTGGTAAAATGAACTTTAAGCAGAGATTCAGATTGAAGTACTGAGCCAGGAGGGTCTCCAGACTCTCTAAATAAAACACACATGTGATAAATACTTATTAAGTATTATTGTCTATGTAGAAGACACTGAGACACTGATGACCTACTAGGTGCATCCAAAGAGTGTGTGGGGGTGAGATGGGAGCAGGAACCCAGAGTAAGGCCAGTTTTGTAGGATTTATAAAGTGAGTCACTTCTAGCTAGCTAACTATCAAGTGTCCCTGTCTATGTGTTTGTCTATTGATTGACTGATAGCTGATACAATGGGACCTTTGGCTGAAGTTTTGAGGAGTGCCTAAATTAAAGTTTTGATTTTAACTGAGTTCACAGAGGAGAACTCTGGAAACTTCACATGAGAGTGTGAATGTCTTTAGAGAGTCTTATCACAAAGTTCTTTTAACCATTAATATATGCTCTGAAATCTAGCATGTCTTTGCTGTTTGTGTGTGGGAGGATTCTTTTTCAAGTGTATGTTACTCTCCAAGACCTGATCATTGTTAAGAATATTTATTTGACTTAGGGAGAAGGTAACGTTTTGACAGAGACAATAATGAGCTGGCTCACCTCCCCATCCCCGCCCCCACCCCACCCTGGGCAGGTTTGCATGGTGGGGATGCTCTGCTGAGTATGGCTTACTAACATATGCATGGCTTTCCCTTTCCGCAGCCATCGAAGCTCCTATCACCATGCCCCTCCCATGCAGGTGTATGCACGGAGGAAAATGCTATTTTGATGAGAATAACCTCCCCAAATGCAAGTAAGTCTGAATGTTGAGGTCTGAGCTGTAGGTGTTGCCTCTTCTGGGGGAATTCAAGACTTTAAAGTAGCCAGGGAAGCCAGTACAGGAACCTTGCCAGTTCACTAGTTTAACCAGCTTGTCCTCCCTTGGAGGAACCCATAGAGAACTAAAGTAGTGCATCTTAAACTGTAATGAGCAGAAGGATCACTGGGGATCTGGTTCAACTTCCCCCTCATTCACAGGGATTCTGCATTTCTACCATGCCCCCTGGTGATGTCACAGGATGGTGAACCACACTTTAAGGGGCGAGGAGTTTGAGAAATGACAATAGCATGTTCCTACTCCCCTGTGATGTTAGTTACGGCAGGATCATGGGAGAAAAGCATCAGTAGAGCTGCAACAGTATAAGGCACCCACTATGAACAGAAGGACCGACTAAGGATTTGGAAAGACATTTATTAGGGAAGCTCTAACATGGAGCATGGTAAATGTCTCTGAAAAGCATTTAATGAGGGGCCAGCAGATGGTATAATGGTTATGCTGCTGGCCTCCCACGTAGTTGACCGCAGTTTGAGTCCTATACCTGGTGGCTTAAAACTCATGCCAAGTGCATGCGCATGTGCGTTTGTGCCCAAGATCCCAAGAGGAAAATGGAGAAGAAGGGATTGTGGTGTGTCCATCTCCCCTATGAGGGGCAAGATGATTTCTAGCTTTCTGTCTCTCTGTCTCCCTCTCTCTCTCTCTCAGGGGAGCACACATGGCCTATAGTGAAAAAAAAAAAAAAAGAAAAGCATTTAATGAAAGCTAATCAAAGGAAAATACGCAACTGTGGTTTCCACTTGTACTTTGTAAGGAAGAATTCCAGAGATAAGAGAAAATACCAAAAGCTTCCTTTGATGAGGTTGCCCCTATAAGTGCCACAGCTATTTTGCTGAAAGTGAATTCCGAAATCCATTGCAAGTGTTCTTTCTGCCTCTCATCTCTTTGCAAACTAAACAAAAACCATGCAGGCTACATTGTTCAACACGTAATCTACTCGGTCTCTACCTCAGAATGTGCTTATGAAATCACAGCAGAGGCCTAAAAAGGCAAGAGGTGGTGAACGATTCTCCTTTCACTTTCAGGTGTTCTAGTGGCTACACTGGGCCGTATTGTGAAATCGCATTTTCAAAAGGCATGCCTCCAGGAACAAGTAAGTTTTAAAAATATGGGCAACTTGGAAATACGCACGGCCCCTGAATGGAATGCCATCAATGTGTGTTTTCTGTTTAGCCCAACCTTTGAAGAATGGCTGTGCTAGTCCCTGCTTCTGCTGTTCACTGACTCCCCTCCTTTGCCGTGTGCTGACATGTTCCTTTCTTCCCTCTCCAATAGCAGCTGTGGCCGTGCTGTTGACAATCCTTTTGATCATCATCATCGGGGCTTTGGCAATTGTAGGAGTTTTCCACTATAGGAAAACTGGCTCCCTTTTGCCTGCTCTGCCCAAACTGCCAAGGTCAGTTTCATTAAGTGGACTCTTGAACTTCAGAAGCCTGTGGGACATAATCACATGGCTTGCTCTTCTTTAAGTAAAATTAAAAAGTATAGTACCCTGTTCATGTTCTCTGCAGAAACAAACAGTACTGAGGAGTATAAACCAGTCCTGTTCATGTTCTCTGCAGAAACAAACAGTATAAACCACACACTTCCAATGAGCACTTCTTCATCAGGTGCTTCTCAGAAGCCCAAGTGACTAACCATGTTTTAGAGCCCACTGTGGGCGTTTGGGTCAGACTGGAGAAGAGAGAGCGGGCTGGGTGATGGCCAGGCCGCATGCCTGCCAGTGTTCCGCTGGTCTTGTCTCAGATCTCAAGTGTTCAAGAATGTGCTTTATTGTTTCCTGGTAGCTAAAGGAACTCACTGCTACATCGGATATGTGTAAATCAAGAGTGGGTTAGGGTGTTTGATTTAGGTGAGATTTAACAATGTGGAGGAGAGAATACCATCACAGAAGGTTTTTAAAAGCAAATTATAAGACACTACTTTGATTACTTCCTTCCAGCTTAAGCAGTCTTGTCAAACCCTCTGAAAATGGAAATGGAGTGACTTTCAGATCAGGGGCAGACGTAAACATGGATATCGGAGTGTCTGGTTTTGGGCCCGAATCTGTTATTGACAGATCAATGGCAATGGTGAGTGAGGTTTCAAAATGATTATTTGAAGGCTGTCATTTTTACTGTTCTATGAAAGAAACACTTTTTAGGTGTTTTTATTTTAAAGAATCAAATATAATGGTTAATGTAGAGAATATTGAAAAACAGTGCACTTTTCTGAATAAAGTCTACATTTTTTAGACCAAATTAGGAAACATTAGGTTTGTTGCAGAAATGTGTTTGAACATTAGTAATGAAATTGAAATTAACCCCCTCTCCAAGCCACACTATTCGATTGGAATCATAAACGGTATTAAATTCAATTGGAATTTTAGGCAGTTTTGGGAAGAGGGAGGAAAGGGAACATGATGTTTTGTTTGTATTTATTAGTAGTATTATTTTGGAGAGGTTTTTGCTATAGGGCGTGTGCTCACCAGAAAAACAGAGAGAGACAGAGAGACAGAGAGACAGAAAGCGAGAAATCACAACCCTCCCCCCCCGGGGAGGGGGTGGCCACACTGCAATGCCTTCTCCTTCTTTCTCCTCTTGGGATCTTGGGCATGCACACACATGCTTGGTGTGAGTTTAAGCCACCAGGTCTGGGACTCGAACTGTGGTTGACTATGTAAGAGTCCAGCGACATAGCCATTACACCAACTGCAGTTCCCTTGACAACATTTTATATGAATGTAGGGAACTGTATTTTTCCTAGTGCCATATATTTTTCTATCAACATATAGTAATGGAATAAACAGCGATTTGATAGTCAGTGTAGGTTCAAACTATGGTTCTACCACCTTCTAAGTATGTATTAGTGGGTATGGCTCTGATCTCTCTGGTCCCCACCGTTCTCATCTGTGAAATGGGTACAAAGGTACGTTGTGTGAGGACTGAATGAGATACTTTGTGAGGAGCCTGGCATAGGCTTGGTGCAGAGGGGGCTCGATGTAATCAGTAGTGGGAAACCACTTTCACTATTTTGTCTCCCCTGAAAGTCTCATTTTTTGCCTTACCTTAAAGTACAATATTATCCATAATCTCTTTCTTCCTCTTATTCTTCTCCTTCTTGCTCTTCTTCCACCCTTTTCTCTGCTCTCCTGGCCAAATCCCCAAGTACATTGTATATATATGAAAGAGTCACAGAGAATTCAGTAAGAGGAAGAAAGTTTCTGTTTTCTTGAGTGGATGAATTAACACTTCTATTTTACTTTAAATCATGATTTGCCATATAGAGACTGTCTTCTGTCTCTGCTGGCTCTTTTCTTTGTTCTTTTCAGCAAATTTCCAAGGTGTCATTTTTTGGGGTAACTTTGGCATAACACCTAGCCCACTTCCAGGTGTGAGAAAGAAAGGCACGGTCCTCTGATGGGAACCAGATCAGCATGGTGTAATCTCTTTCTCCCTCTTTTCACCCTGATCAGAATGAGGACTTTGCGATGGAGATGGGGAAGCAGCCTGTGATATTTGAAAACCCCATGTATTCAGCCAGAGACAACGCTGTCAAAGTGGTTCTGCCAGCTCAGGTGAGGAATGGCGCAGTCCTTCCAGTCAGTGCCTCGCGGGGTGTTATCCTATTGAGAAAAGTCCTCTGAAGCTTCTCACCTCCCCCGCAAAGGGATCAAGAGGCACAGTGGTCCTTGCCTCAGCTAACGTAGCAGGACAGACCCGAGAGTAGCCTGAAAATGGTCAGGATGCTGCTCTGTGTCCCAGTTGTTGAGGTTTGGTAGCCATGCCGGGGATACTGACAAGAGCCTTTTTATTCTGAGTGGTGTCAGGGCAGGGTGCGGGAGAGTCCTGCTCAGTCCTGCACCTGGTGCACCGCAGGCTCTCTCTGCATAGATAAAGAATGGATGGACTGAATGATGACCAGGTCACTCGACGAGATTTTGGGGACTGCATACACTCTCCAGGTTCTACTGGTGTCAAAAGAGTATGGTTTTAGGTGGGCTAAAGAGAGAAAGACCTCTTTATGCTTGCTTTTCCTGTACTTTTCTCAAATGTATAAAGGTCTTCAGAGCTGATAGGCAGGTATCTAAGTTTCCATGGGAGCAGTCCTATTTCTCAGTCATCTTTAAGGGGAACTGGGAGATAAGACTATGAATGAAGGGAAAGAATGTTTCCTAGGTCACTAGAAGTGGTGTCAACCACTTCGTCTACTGTCAACCTCTTCTGCCTATGTCAAAACAATTATGGCTTGAGTGACAATGAGTAACTCATTGTTAATACCGACACTTCTTTTGAACTCAAGATATAGATGTGTTACTATGTAAATGTTTATTTTATACATATCTTTCTGAAGATCAGAAATATTTTAATCTTGAAAGCATTTTGCCTGATCCTCTGATAACCAGATAACAAATTTTAGTTGCATAATGAAACAGGTATGACGTTTCATTTGGCATTTTCACTGGAAATAAAATGAGGCCAAAATACAACATACATATAAATACATATCCCAGTTTGAGGAGGAATGAAGTGATGACTATAAAAATATCAGAAAAGGAGTTTATTATCTACACGACAATTTATTAATTGTGTACTCATGGTAATTTGGGTTTAAAGGGACACTTTGGAACTATATTGATGTTATATAGGAAGATATGGAGAGGAGTCTTAATTCCATTATACCTACTGTTTAAAAAAAGTAAGCTTGTTTTTAAGCAAGTCCCTGAAATTAATAGTTTTTTTCTTACCCCAGAATAGAATTTTGTGCCCATCATTGAGTTTGGGGAGTTATTCACGTTGTTCTTCTAGGGTCTGGCGCCATTATACAACCGGAGTAACTTTTATTCAGACATATCATACAGCAGTGGGGTAAGGAGGCATAGAGACCACAGTAGAAATTGCTCTTGGTGAGAGTGACTAGCGAGAGAGATGTTTGCCTCCCAGGATTAAGATGACATGACTTAGTGGTTGGTGTTCTTGATTTCGAAGAGGTGGAGTGGTGTTTAGTCCTGGGATACTGTTTCAGTTCACGGAGTAAAGATGGCGCCTGAGTTTATCAGTTTGTCTATTACTGAATTTCTTCTAAACTAGATAAAGACCACCCAGATGTCACAGGTGACAGTATCTGGAAATGTGGATAACAAGAATTATGGAAGTCCCATGAGCCCTTCTGAGATAGCTCCAGAAACAACGCCGCACCCCCCAGCTGCTGATGGAACCCAGGTAACCTTAGCTGACTGCTGAAATGGGATTTGGGAAGTGCTCTTTCTTGAAATTGCTGGGTTGGGGTTAATCCTAGGCAGACAAGGTAGACCCTGATAGGCTTACACATCCCAAGACGTGTAGGCAGTTAATTAGGGTAATTGTTTATGCAAACCACTGACATTTTCTAGTGGCCACAGGTGTGCAGAGCACCCTGAAACTGTTTCAAAGTTGTGCATATTTCCAAATGTTTTTTAAAATAATTTTTATTTTTATTATTATTTTAATTTTCTATAGAGTGCATGCACTTACCAGAGACAGAAAGAGAGAAGGAAAGGGAGAAAGCAAACTGGCAAGTCTAGGACTCAAACCACTGTCAACCATGTGGGAGTCCAGCACCCTAACCACAACACCTACTGCTGACCCCAATTTCCCATTTTTTCTTTTTTTTTTTTTTTAAATATTTTAAAGAATTATTTACTTTTTTCCATTCATTCATTTATTTTAATTTGATCAGAGAGAGACACACACACACACACACACACAGAGAAGGAAAGTGAGAAAGAAAGCCACCAGGTCCAAGACTCAAACCGTGGTTAGCAATGTGGGAGTGTCCAGCACCCTAACCACCATACCACCTGCTGATCCTCTTTATTTATTTATTTATTTTTGAAATTTTTAGAGAGGTTTTTGCTATAGGGCACTTGTGCTTGCCAGAGAAACAGAGAGACATAAAGAGAAAGAAAGCAAGAAATCACCCCCCAGGGCAGATGCCCATCCCACAATCCCTTCTCTTCTGTTCTCCTCTTGAGATTTTGGGCATGCATGCACATGTGCCCAGCATGAGGGTTTTTGTTTGTTTGTTTGTTTGTTTTTAAGAGGTTTTTGCTCGCCAGACAGACAGAGAGAGACAGAGACAGAAAGTGAGAAATCACCCCTCGGGAGGGATGGCCACGCCTCAATCCCTTCTCCATTCTCCTCTCGGGATCTTGAGCATGCATACATACACGTCCGGCGTGAGTTTTAAGCCACCGGGTCCGGGACGCGAACTGCTGTCGACTACATGGGAGTCCAGCGACACAGCCATTACGCTAACTGCTGGTCCCAACCCAGTGTGAGTTTTAAGGCACCGGGTCCGAGACTCAAACCAGGATGACTACACGGGAATCTAGTGATATAACAATTATGTCATCTACTGGTCTCTCGAAATATTTTTAAAATGGAAAGGAATTTTCATGTTTTCCTCACTTTGTGCACTTTGCTGTTGGTGTGACAAGGCATTTAAAGATATTCTTTTTTCTTAATTTTTTTTTTTATTTGTAAGGTGGTGTTAAGACATGGTTATTGGCTGGAAATCCCAAGTTACCAACTGTACATATCTCTAGTCTGTAAAGAAGACAAAACAACTGCAGCAAACTCTCCATGCTCCTTGCTTGGTGAAGGCTGCAGGGAGGGTGCCAGGGGCGGAGTAGTTGGGGGGCTAGACTCGTTGACTCTGGTGGCATCCGAGTAGCATCCGGTTGTCTTGTTTGAACAGTGACCTAGTACTCTGCTGCCATTCTTAGCTATAGAAAAGGGGAGTCACCTGGCATGAGAAGGGTTTGGGTTTTTGTTTTCTTAGTCAAGTGTGGAAGTTTTAAAACTTTAAAAAAAACAAACTGTAGAACTCTTCCTTGTCAGCCAAGCCAAGAGCCACTGCATCAGTGAAGTTCAAGAACCTCTGTAATGGGAACCAGCAATTAGCGTAATGGCTATGTCACTGGACTCCCACGTAGTCGACCGCGGTTCGCGTCCCGGACCCGGTGGCTTAAACTCACGCCGGGTGCGTGTGCGTGCGTGCCCAAGATCCCGAGAGGAGAATGGAGGAGAAGGGATTGCAGCGTGACCATCCCCCCTGGGGCTGATTTCTCACTTTCTGTCTCTATGTCTCTCTCTGTCTGTGGAGAGACAACCCCTATAGGGAAAACCTTTCCAAAAAAAAAAAAAAGAACCTCTGTACTTAAAACTGATTTGCAACATTATATTATTTTTTGTATGTTTAGAGTGACACAATGTTTTCGAAGTTAAATAAATAGTATTACATTTTTGTTTTTTAAATTAGGGTATTTTTTTTTTACGTCATAGATTAGGGACCAGAAAATGGCATAATGGTTATGTTTTTGGACCTCCACATGGTTGACTACAGTTTGAGTTCTTCACTCAGGAGCTTGGGTGGCATATTGGCTAAGGGCAGTGGACTCCCATGTGTCCGGCCACGGTTCAAGTCCCAGACCTGGTGGCTTGCTTTCTCACTTCCCCTCTTTTTCTCTCTGTTTCTCACTCTGTCCCTCTCTAGCCAAATTAAAATAAATGAATACATAAATAAAATTAAATAAAATAATCCTTAAAAAAATACTCATGCCGGGCACGTGCACATGCATCTCCCAAATCTGAGAGGAGAACGGAGAAGTGATTGTGGTATAGTCATGCCCCCTGGGGGGGGTGATTTCTTGCTTTCTGTTTCTCTGGTAAGTGCATGTGTCCTATAGCAAAAAATTTCTCTTTAAAAAAATAATAGATTGAAAACTATCTACCAGGTAAAGCTACATTCTAATACCGAGTTGAGAATAATGTCGCTTGTGATATGGGAGATTTCTAGATCTAATATCTCTAAATGCACTGGAGGCAGGGGCAATTAAAGATGCCAGTGCATCAAGTATACATACCCAAAATCCTTCTCTATGTGAATTTTATACAACGTGAAACTTTATTCCCTTAGTAAAATATTGGGGGGGGTGTTTCAAAAAGTTCATGGAAAATGCATATTACAAAAAAACCCTTATTCAAAACCAACTTGTACTTTAATTGCATTTTCCCATAAACTCTGAAGTAGCCTTGTGTGCTGTTCTTACTGTACTGCAGTTACCTCAGTTTACCACTAGATGGCACTAGTTTATATCCTCGTCTCTATTCATCCATCTGTTCATTCTTCATCTATCTTATTGTCCATTCAATCGCCCAACCAACATTATTGCCCTCAATTTGTCAAGTATGATGTTTAATGTGAATATTAAAAGAAAATAGTCACTAGGTGCAGCTTCTCTACCATGCCTGTAGGCCCTTTTAAATTTATAGACGATTTGGTCTGCATAGAGAAATTCAATAAGTACATTTGATATAAAATTTTATATTAAAAAATAATATATAGCTAGTTTGAGTGCACACATATGAAGCTATGCCAGATCGGGTTGAGTCTGGAAAAATCATTTTACCTCTGGGTACTGGAGTCCTCAGCAAAATTTCTCCTTGAGGGTACTATCGCCATATTAGGTGGGTTAGTTCTTTATGCTCCAAGGTTGTCCATACCATTGTATGGTATTTTCGTATTCGCCGTCCCTTCCCCTAAATGCCAGTAGTGTCTCTCAACTGTGATGTGAGAAATCTCCCAGTTGAGAACAATAGGATCTGGACTGTCTCAGTTCTAAGGTTTCATGATTCATTTTGTGAAGTAATATTAAAAAACAGAAGTAGCTTGAAAATTTGTCATTCTATACAATCCTTATTTTTTCAAATTGTATAATCTATAAACAAAATTGTTATCTGCAAAGTTAACTTAGAAGTCTTACTGAATTTATAGCCATGAAGCACTTCAGACACTGGGTCCTGTTCTGTTTGGGTTGAAATAAAATTTGAGCTAAATTTATGCTAATGAAAAGAGCTTATATCAGAGATCTTTGTCCACCTTTTAATATTCCATTACTTATTCTTTTATCCTGCCATGTGCATACACAGGGACACTCATAGATGCATACGAATATTGTCTAGAAAAAATTTGTCTCATCTTTTTCAAGAAGGGGACCGAATTATTTTTCTTTTTCTCTCTTTTTTTTCTTTTAATTTTTGCCATAGGACATGTGAGCTTGTCAGAGAGGGATAGAGAGAAAGAAAGAGTGGGAGAAAGTGAGAAATCACCCTCTGGGGGGGGGATGGCTATGCTGTAATCCCTTTTCCTCCATTCTTCCCCTGAAATTTTGGGCATGCACATACACACACACCTGACATGTTTTTCAATCTGCTGGGTCCAGGACTCAAACCTCAGAGTTGGCCAGGTGGAATCCAGTTCCTTAACCACTATGCCTCTTGCTTCTCTGAGACTGAACTATTTTTCTTTAAGCTACATTAAAAATGGATTTCAGGGGAACCAGCAGATAGTGTAATGGCTATGTTGCTGGACTCCCACGTAGTCGACCGCGGTTCGCATTCCAGACCCGGTGGCTTAAAACTCACACCGGGTGCGTGTGCGTGTGTGTCCAAGATCCCGAGAGGAGAATGGAGGAGAAGGGATTGTGGTGTGACCATCCCCCCGGGGGGTGATTTCTCGCTTTCTGTCTCTATGTCTCTCTCTGTCTGTCTGGCGAGCGCCCTATAGAGAAAAGCTCTCCCCCCCCCCCAAAAAAAAAATGGAGTTCAGGGATTTCAGAGGACCAGCCCCATGGCCTGGTGGTAGGGAGAGCTGATTCCCACATGGCCAACCACATGGTTTGAATCCTGGCCCTGGCAACTTGATAAAACATGCTGTGTGTGTGTGTGTGTGTGTGTGTGTGTGTGTGCTCAAAATCCTAACAGGATGGAGGAATGGAGAAGAAGGGATTGCAGCATGACCACACTCCATTAGGGGATGCTCCCTCTCTCTCTCCCGCTCTGTTTCTCAGTCTCTCTTTGGCTAGCGCATGTGCCCTCTGGGGAAAAAAAAAAAAAAAAAGGATTTGGAGGCTAACTTTCCATAGGTAATTTTTCAGAAGACTGAATATTTGAATATTACATACAAGAAGTCTTCAAAAAGTTTGTGAAAAATGTGTAGTATGAAAAAGCAATGCATGGATTTAAAATATTTTTGCACCAAAATGAACTCGTACTTTAATTTCATTTTTCAACAAACTATTTTGAAGTCCTCTTGTATTTGGCCCAAAAGTCTGAGTCAACTGCAAGGCAGTGCCGGATACATTTCCTATTACTGCCGTTTTTTCCTCAGCCCACTTGAAGTTTAGTGGGCAAACTGCAGCCTCTGACCTGCACGTGAGTCATTAGAGACAGCACATTGAAAGACTTTCAAAAGGGAACAGGTCTTCACCAGTCATAATCCCTTGCTTCCTCACCTCCATCTTTGTAAAATGTTGGTTCTTCCTCTTACTTTTTAGCTGAGCTCTCTAAGAGTTGTCCTCCATGATATGTCTAAGGATCTTTGCTTCCTGGGCCCTGAGCTAACAGCCGGTATGGCTTAAAAGCAGTCGAGGCACTTGGTTAACATAATGGGCCAAGGGACCTCACGGTCTTTTCTTTCCTTAGTAAATATGCTGATAGGACTGAAAGTTAAGAACATGAACTGTGACTTAGTCCTATCATGTTCCAAAAGCTGCAGTGACATGTGGAGGATCTCCTGACATAAAAATGGGAGTCCCACACCATTGTTCTTGTTAGTTACTGCTTACGCCAAGCAGCCGTTCCACACTGAAGCAGTGATTGCTAAGGGTCTGGCCTTCCCTACTTAGCCATAAGCTCCCAGAAGCAGGGCTCTGACGTCAGGATCTCCATCTCCCCTTCGGTGGAGCCATGTAGAGACTCTGAGCTCATTGAAGCGTGGCCTAAAGTGAATGCCCTTTTCTACTGATACTTCCCTATGGTGTCGGATTCCCCACTCCTTCACAGGTCGGCCCCCTACTTTCAGAGACTGAGAGACACCCTATAAAACATGTGACCATCTTCTCTGCCTACTGCAGTGAGCTGTCTGCCCCCTTGTCTCCTGCCACGTTTTTATTTGGCAACTAGAACAGTGACCAACACTAGCAGCAACTTTTCAGCAAGGTGGGGCCCCTTGCCTTGGTCTAGGATGATTCTCTTTGAGTGCTTCAGTTTATGGGCCTCTGCCTCCCAAGTAATGATTCCTGCTCTTCTACTTAGAGTTTAGTTGTTTATTTTTTCTTGCTATGACTCAGCATCTGTAAAATGGGGATAATAAGAGTACTTCAAAGAGTTACTGATTAAATCAGAGGACCAGAGACGGTGCAGTGTAAAACACAATGTTCTGCAAGGCTGACCCCACATAAGAAGGTTCCAGGTTTGCTTCTGGAGACCTCCCTAAGCATCCAGACACTCCTGTGTCTGTGATCCAGGCTCACTGAGGCGACCCTGGTGGGGGGACTGTCTCTCTGACTCTCTGGTTCTCTCACTCATAGAAGAAATAAACTTAAAAGAAGAAGATTAAATCAGAAACTTGAAAAACTCCTAGAATAACCCCTGACATGTACTGAGTACTCAATAAAATGCTAGTTATGTGTGTTATTACTGCCATTTCTATTACAGGAGAAAACGAGGCAAGGGGAAGGGATGCACTTGGGTTGACCAAAAATCATTTTAGGAAGTGTGAATTAGAGTTGAACTTTTCCCCCAATTTTCATGTAACCCCAGAAATCTTTTTTTCTCCAGTAAACACACACACACACACACACACACACACACACACACACACACACAGAGAGAGAGAGAGAGAGAGAGAGAGAGAGAGAGAGAGAGAGAAAGAGAAAGAGAGAGATAAATATATATAGCTGTCAGAGAAGTCAAGATGTATTTTTTTTTCTGTGCAAAAATGCATCCTGACTTTTCCGGCGACCGTAATTTTCTTTAATCTCTCTGTGCTGAAGTAGCCAGAGTGATGTGCTTGTTAAAGCTTTTAGATGTTATGGATATAGATTTATAAATTTCACATTAAGGAAGTGTTTGAAATTATTGAATGGAAACCGCTGGAAGAGTTTCAGTTAGCATTCAGGGACCACAGGAAGAACTGAACAACTTATCACATGACCCAGCTCTCGTGGCCCCAGGTTTCAAATTGCCTTCTCCTTGAGTGGAAAGAAAAGTTGAAACACTAGACAGGGAGAAAAGAAACTCACTAAAAATTTTATGACTGAGGTTTTTTTGTTTTCTCCTTTTACTTAGGCAGCAAAATGGAATATCTTCAAACGGAAACCAAAAAAGACCACCAACTTTGAGAATCCAATCTATGCTGAGGTAATTTTTAACCATTTTTCTTAGTATAGACATCCTTTCTTAGAAATCATTGTGTGACTAAATTGGGCATCCCATTCAGGTGACAGGGAGGGATTGGTCTTCATGCCCAACCATCTCTAGTTGAGCCTGGGGGGAATGGGTGGCTGATTCCCATCTCGTTGTTGTCTTAGATGGAGAATGAGCAAAAGGAAGGTGTTGCTGTGGCCCCACCTCCATCACCCTCTCTCCCCGCCAAAATCCCTCCCCAAAGAGATCCAACTCCAGCCTATACTGCAACAGAAGACACTTTTAAAGACACTGCACATCTCGTTAAAGAAGACTCTGAGGTATAGCTGCGCCAGCTGTCTAGGGAATAGTTGAAGATATACTTTTGCACAGATATTTTTTACAAACAAATGACAGAGTCCACATTCAGTACTTTATTAAAAATATATTTTTCCCTGTTTGCCTATATTTGGAAGTGTCTTGGGTGTCTTTTTTTTTTTTTTTTTTTTTTTTACTTACGCCATATAATATTTTTACAATTGAGTATCACAATGTACTATATGTATATCTTTGCACTGAAAGCGTCCGAAGGAAATGCTATAAATATATTGTACATTTGTAAATTTTGAAAAGATTATCACATCACTGAATTTGTTAATAAAGGTCTCCGCTAAGTTGCTTGGTGATCATTATATTACATGATCCAATGATGAAAGGAATTGACTTGGGGCTTTTAACCATGTCTAAAGAAGAGGCATCACTCATGTTTTCTATAAATTTATTCAGAAAAAGCATCAAGGCCCCACTCTTGGGTCATTTTTACGCTTCGGTACTTCATGTTCAATACTACGTGTCAGTTTGATTAATAGGCATATAGATAGAGGCCACTACATGTTGTCTAGACATCTGGATTTGACTGTAGACACCTCTGATAATACAGAAGTTAGAAAAACGGATCCAATTTTGTTCTTCTATTGGTTTGCGTTGTCTAACCAGAACACTCTGTTTTATGTTTTTTTTCACTAGCTACCGAGTCAACGTTTTTCTCTGTAATATTTGTTAGGAAATCCCATGTCACAAGTCAAGTGTCCTGCTGCTCTGCATTTGTATTTAACCAAATGAACTGTTTCTCTCAATGAACCGTTGCGCAATTAATGCCCTTGCCTGGCATCTCAGGGGGGCACCTCCTCTCATAACTGGAGCTCATCAGCTGAAGTACTGAAACCAAATCTGCGTCTTCAAAAGTAAGATGCAAACAAACACTGGTTAAGCACAATCTCAACTGGGATTCTGTTTCTCCGGGTGAGAAGTATCATTATAATGACTATTTATTTCCTAAATTGAACATGAATAGAAAGGGAAAACATTCTGACTGAGGATTTTTAAGGTCCTTTGGCTAAATCCATACGTTTGTATCAGAATGTACTGTATAGCTTGGTTCTCTTCTTGCGTAGTCGGTGTAGTCTTCACAACAGGAACCATGGCAGAAATACCAACTTCCATAGCCGGTAGCATTCCTGACTCTGTGCTGATATTGCACATTTGTTAAACAATGAATGAATGGATGGGTGGATGGATGAATGAAACACGTACTACTGATTATTTTATTCCTGCGTTCTCAAAATACTTGTTGCTCATATTTTGAGTGCTGATTGTAATTACGTTGAAATGGATTTTGATTAGAAAAGTAACTGGAAATGATGCTGCTGAAAAATTTCTAATAAATATGTATTTTACCAGATGTCTTCTGTGTGCTTCTTAAGCACTGGTCATGAATCCAATACTTGGGACTTTTCAGTCATGCCAATTCTGTGTCACTTTGGCCTAGAAGTGAATCCAGAATAATTGGTTGAACAATCAACAAGCCTCTGCACTCGTCTTGTTTGTGTCTCTGATATTCTGGAATAAGTGCTAGGAAACGAAACAAACAGGTCTCTAGAAGCAGTAAGATGTCAGAGTCCCACTTAGCTGACCTCATTGCGAGCGGCTGAATGGTGTCCATGGCTGACGCTGACCAAAGGGCAGGGTACACCTTCCTGTGCCTCTCGTTAGCAGTGTGCGCCTAACCAGAGTCGTTTGCCAAGTGGACATTTTCTTAGTGAATTATTTTCAGCCTAGGATTGAGGCTATTTTCCTGCTGTTAAGCTACGTCCCACCTGCTGCTTCCATGGAACACGGAGGTTGATCCTAAGAGTCCAGTGTTAAAACCTATGTTAAGAGTGCAGCCCAGTCCAGCAGGTGGCATGGTGGTTAAGGTGGCTGGATCTCACATGGCCAACTGTGCAGTTTGAGTTCCAGACCCGGTGACTTGAGAATCACACCAGATACGTATGTATAGGTGCCCAAAATCCCAAGAGGAGACTGGAGGAGAAGGGATTGTGGAGTGGCCATTCCCCCTGGGGGACTGTGATTTCTCACTTTCCTTCTCACTCTCTCTTTCTCTGGCAAGCACATGTCCCCTCTAGCGAAACACTTAAAGAAAAGAGAAAAGAAAGAAAAAGAAAGAAAAGAAAAGAAAGAAGAAAAGAAATGTAGTCCATTACCTGCCATAAAGTAAGCATCATTCAGTAGCCATAATTACCATCATTTATGAAGTAGAGGGGAAAGGAAAGAGATATCTTCGTTCATTTATTTATTTTGCTAGAGGGTGAGTACACTTGCCAGAACAGACAGAAAGAGAAGGAAACTGAGAAAGTATGCTCTCCCTCCTGTGGAGGATGTCCATGCCATAATCCTTTCTCCATTTCTCCTATTAGGATTTTGGACATTCATGCACATGAGTCTAGCCTGTATTTCAAGCCACCAGGTTTGGGACTCAAACTGCACAGCTGGCCATGTGGGATCCAGCCGCCTTAACTATGCCTTAACTACTATGCCACCAGCTGGACCCTATGTGGTTTTAGAAGCTCCTCAAGTGATTTTAATGCACATCCAGGGTCGAAAACTATTCTAAATGATTGCTCTCCTTTATCTTTTAATGGAGGATGTTAAGGAGATCAACATTTTGTATGGGCCTTTGAAAGGATGCAGGTATCTTGTCTGTAGTAAGGTTGAAGTGTGGATGATAAAAAGTTTGGTCTCATATTATTGTGTGGTCTTATTCTTTCTTCTTTTTGCTATAGGGCACACATGCTTGATGGAGAGATAGAGAGAAACAAAGACAGAAAGTGAGAAATGACCCCCCCCCCACCACCCTGGGGCGGAGATGGCCATGCTGCAATCCCTTCTTCTCCAGTCTCCTCTTGGGATTTTGGGTACATATGCACATGTGCCCAGCATGAGTTCTTTTTTAATTTTTCTTTTGGAGAGGTTTTTGCTATAGGGTGTGTGCGCTCGCCAGACAGAGACAGAGAGATAGAAAGCGATAAATCACCCCCCAGAGAGGATGGCCATGCCACAATTCCTTCTCCTCCACTCTCCTCTTGGGATCTTAGGCATGCACGCACACGCGCCCAGCGTGAGTTTAAGCCACCAGGTCCGAGACTCCAACCGCGGTCGACTACGTGGGAGTCCAGCGACATCGTCATTACACTAACTGCTGGTCCCCCAGCATGAGTTCTAAGTCACCGGGTCCAGGACTCAAACTGCAGTTGACTACATGCGAGTTCAGCAATATTACCATTACACCATCTGCTGGTCTCATTGTTTTTTTTTTTTTTTTTTTTTTAAATGATAAGGCAGTAAGCACCCCTGTACATGAAAGATGGGAAAACCAATGCTGAGAAAGCCAAAGCATGCATGTTTGGGTCACAGCATAGGGAACAGAGCCAGATATGTTTCCTGGATCCTCCCAAGGGCTCTTGTCTTGTCAACATTTCTTGTTCCCACAAGCCAAGGGTAGAGCCTTCCATGGAATTCTGTGTCGAGCACCTAGCACGATTGCTGAATGAAAGAACAAGTTGCCATGTGAATTTATTTCTCATCCCTTCCCATGTTTCCAGACCCAACTACAATGGACTTTTCTTTAGTTATGTTGTTAGTTTTCCTGAGTCCAATAGCATCTGTAATTTCCTTGGGAGTTCTCTTAGAAGCAAAGTGAATAGGATACCTCGGACAGCCCCGAGCCTTCCCTGATAGTGAAGAGACTGTCACTACAAAGATAGGTAAGATGAGGTCTGTTTCCAAGAGTGCAATCATGTATTTGTTGCTTCTAGATTTTTGCCCATTTAATTGCTTCTTAACAACTTTGAAGAATAAAGCATTCAAGGGAGGTACTTCCGTTTTAAAAGATAAGTAGTCCTGAACCGTTCTTGGCACAATGCTCTCCTGCCGTTTCCCCCTAATTCGTTCCGTGGAGGACAATGGAGATTTTATTTGCAGTGCAGGAGACAGTTATGTACATTATAGAGATAGTACCTAGGTGTGGGGCAGTAGGGTCCATTTATCTTGTCTTTGGTCTTTGCTAAGGGCCTTGTTTAAAACGGTGCGAAAGGGGCTGGCTGGTGGCATAGCAGGAACATGATGCTCTGCGAGTCCGACCCACATGGGAAGGTTCTGGGCTTGTGTTTGGAGACCTCCTTGAACATGCCAGGTGTGTACATGCCCATGATGCAGGGGGAAAAAGGCCCCTTACAAAGTACAAAGTGGCAGAGACAGACTCCAGTCAGGCTGGCAGTTACCAGCCCACATGGTTTGTGTGAGTGAACACTAACTGGCCATGCAACTGGGAATAGGCCTTTTGCCTCCCTGCAGATTAGTAGCTTAAGGAGAAAGTGAAGGGGCAGGACAAGGTCATCTCCAAGTGCTCTAGCTTTCGGGTGCTATGGTTCAGTGACTTATCTCTAGTCTTTATTTGGAATCTAGTTCTTCAAACTCTGCAGCTGCTTCAGTAAGTCCTAAGCTTGTTCTAGCCACTTCAAAGATGGCAGACTCATGTATACCATCTTGATTTTTATCCTCAAATGCTGTCTTTGTAGGTGAGCTCTTAGATGTATTTTAGAAAATGATTTTTGTGAACTATCTGAAATCCTGCTTGTCAGTTTCAGGGCTGAAGTTTGCTGTGTAGGGTTCCTTTTTTTTTCAGGAGACTCTTGAAAACATCCTTTCTAGATGCAAGGCTCCAGGGGCCCTGGGGCTAATTTCCTCTGGTACATGAAGGAGCCTTGGTCAGGGAGCGAGGCAGCCTGGAGGAGATGGGAGCCAGCTGTGGTGAAGAAGCAGAGGCACCTAGCTGACTTCCCATGGGATCTGAATCCAAGAATGGGCTTTAGATTTAGGAATAAATAAGCCCAGAAGTAACATAAATTAATCGTAATTGTCTATTTTTTGGAAATTAAACTTGAATCAAAAGGTTTTTTTAGGGAACCAGCAGTTAGTGTAATGGCTATGTCGCTGGACTCCCACGTAGTCGACCGTGGTTCGTGTCCTGGACCCGGTGGCTTAAAACTCACGCCGGGCACGTGTGCGTGTGTGCCCAAGATCCCGAGAGGAGAATGGAGGAGAAGGGATTGCGGCATGACCATCCCCGCTGGGGGGTGATTTCTCGCTTTCTGTCTCTATGTCTCTCTGTCTGTCTGGCGAGCGCACGCGCCCTACAGTGAAAATCTCTCAAAAAAAAAAAAAGGTTTTTTAAAATTGTGGTAAAATACATAGAACATAAAACGTAAATGTTGGATTTTCAATCATCAAGTTGGTATCTGGGATTTTTGTTTTGTTTTGTTTGTCAGGGTGCCTTTTTCAAGGTGGCTACTTATGGCTTTGAAAAATCACCAAGGCAGGACATTTACTTCTAAAATTCTGACTGTATCAGAGCCCAAGAAAAGGTGGTAGGGAGCATCGCTCAGCCCAGCCTAGTCCAGCAGGAAATGCCTAGCTATGATGTCCACCTGAGTTACTCTCAGAACGGATAGAGGCTGTGGTGTTTCCCACCAATGTTAATAACCAGAAAATGGCCACCAACCCAGGCTTAGGAGTCAGTATTGGTGTCTTAGAAAGTGAGCCAGCATTGGAACTCATAGATACAAATCAGACTAAGACTCTCCCAAGCTGGTCTTACGCGAGCTGTTGAGCCTTGAACTTCAGTTTCTTATTTTTTCCTTTTAAAAAGTTTGTTTTTTTTCTTACGAGACAGAGAATTGGAGACAGAGGGAGATCAGCACCCTCTCATTCTCAGCCAGTAAGGATCATGGGTCCATTGGGGAACTGAGCCCATGATCTTCCACATGGACTCAGTTTCTGTGGAGCACATTACGTTGTACCACTGAGCAGGCCTTCGGATGTCCAGATCAGCCAGGCATTGGCCACTGACCACCTCCATGACCTTGAGTGAAGAGGTGTTCTGGCTGGGGGCAAGTCCACCCAGGGCACAGTTATGAGCTCTTGGTGGCTGGAGGATGGGTGCTGGGCCTGAAGGGGGATCTGGAAGAAGCACTAGGGTAAGTCTCTACTTTCCCTCTGATACTGTTGCCATATCATAATTCACTTGATTTGCCAGAGTGGAACAGAACAGAATAATTTGCCTAACCAGGAGTATGCTGCATTTAGCAAAGGGTGAATTAATCTATGCATAAAAATGACCTTTTGCCAGAGTAATCACTCCAAGATTAAACACTAGGAATTTCCCTAACTCTCTTGTTTTTCACCTTTTTCCTTCTCTTCTCTTTTGGTTGTATTCTTTTTATTTTTCAAACATTTATTTCTTTATTTATCTATTTATTTGTAGTGATTTATCAAGTCACTGATTCCAGGACTCAAACCATGGTGGGAATCCAGAGCCTTAACCGCCACATACCTGTTTGAGTG